TAAAAGGAATATTTATTTTTTTTAAGATAAGAAACTCCTAGTTAACATGTAAGGCATATTTTTACTCTTCTTGCACAGTTCACATTTTTCTACTATGCTGTCAACATTTTTTTCTTTTAGCAAAATAGTATGTGTTAGTTTCTTAATTAAGAATCTGAGGAAGCTGCTTATGCTTTATTGCACTTCATGAGAGGAAACATGTACATCAGTTTTAAAACTCCTAAGATTCTCAAGGGTCTCAGGGTGTATTTTAACAACTGGCAGTCTTCCACATAATATAAACTGTTTATGGAAAGCAGAAGTAAAACTGGTTTGTTAAAGTTACTAGATCACCTTTATGTACTATGTAAATTTAATTTAGCAAAGCTTAATTAGGAAGTGTGCATAAGTTAATATATTTTCTTTTACTTCCTTCAAATATTATGTGAGAAATATGTTTAAAAATGAAAAAATAAGTAACAGTTCCATTTCCTCTTGGATCCCACTTCCCTGAGATAACATGCTGTTAATTTAAATGCCCATATAAATGTTTAGTTTACATAAATGAAATCACTGTACATAATATACTTCTATACATAGTGTGAATGATATTTTGTAGGCACATTCTATGGCATAGCTATTATCAACTTAATACATAGTAAAATATACTAAATTAGTACCTGTTTGAGGACATTTAAATTGTTTCCAATTTTCAGTAATAAAAAAGTGTTTCAGTAGTAAACAGGTGGCAGAGCTTATACCAGGATGGAAATCCAGGCAGGCCTATTCTGGAACCTGTGAGCTTTACGACTGTACAACACTGCCTCCCATCTGCTGCATGTAGTTGCAACTGCCACCTGATATGTTGTTAGGGTTATGAAACAATTCTGATTTTAACTTCTCTAGCAAGTCTTGGAGCAAAATAAAACTGAGGGTAAAGGTGGGGTGAATTCCTTAGGAGAAAATAGTGATAATGCTAGAAATTCTTATCCTCATTGTTCATTAGTTGGGTTTTAGTTTTTCCCACCTCAAGAAACCCTGTTCCCACACTTCTCCCTGCTGGGTTAACAGGTTCAGAATCCCCACACTTGCTACTGCAGTCCCACCAAGAGGTTGGACTCATCATGACAGCAGCAGCAGCCTAAGGTCAGAGACGGTGTACTGGAGGGGAGCCTCCGAGGGAGTTTTGGTAATGAGGCTGTCACATTATGTTGCATAGTTGATTAATAGAGATTCACCATCACTACTGCAGTCATCTCCATTGTAGGTTTCAAAAAGCTGCTACGGCACTCCTAGAAACCTAATACCTATTGGTCATGGTTTAACTCCATAATTATTCTTAAAGTTCCAACTGCTGACTTTATAAAATAACTTTTAAATAACAGATTTTAAAAATCCCTTAACCTTGATGTCTGGAAGTAGGGCTTATAATGGATGCTTATATTCTTTGTGTATTGTTTTTTAATTTTCCTCCAAATTCTAGAATGGACATGTTGCTTTGTAATAATAAGGAAAGTTATTATCATTAAAACATAATACAAATGAGCACTATTTAAGAGGAAGACTCCCTGGATACAGCATATCCTTAACATTTACATATGTGACCTATTGTACTATTTTGACCTATTGTACTATTTTGAAAGCCTGAGTGACCCTAAAATGTACTAGTTTACTTTTGCAAAACCATCAATATAAACCTCACCTCCATGCCCATCTGTGGAAGCAGAACACATAGCCAGGGACAGTCCACTAGCTACTACCATTCACATCTTGAGAAAGCTTTGTTGCTCTGTATTCCTCCATTTTCATTAACCCATTAAGTCTAAAGTTTTCAAAACTTCAAGTATTTAAATGAACTGACACTGGTGCATTAAAAAAGATTGTTTTATCATAATCTAGAACTTATATATTATATTACATTTATTACATACTATACTACAGCTTTTATATGTGTTCCACATCTGGGATGATGGACAAAATGGGTTGACAGCCAGGGCCACCAATTTTTTAAAAAAATCTTTATTTCTTATTTATTTGTTTATTATGTGGTGCTGAGGATCAAACCCAGAGCCTCACATGTGCAAGGCAGGCGCTCTGTCTCTGAGCTTCAAATCCAGCCCCAGGGCCACCAATTTTTAAACCGCTGGAAAAATCAGGCTCAGCTTATATTGCTCATTATGTATCTCCAAAGGACTTAGCCTGACTGTATCTTCTATTCCATTTTATCACATGTCTTCATCACTATGTTTTGCATAAAACAGCTGAGAGACTACTGGGTGGTCACTCTGTAAATTTTAAGTGTCTCAAGAAGACAGGGAGGAAAGATATTGGAAAGTAAGTTGCTGGGATAAGATGAGGACAGGACAGATGATAGCAAGAGGTACTGTTTTTAGAAAGGAAGCAAGGTGGTGGTGAGTGTGGGTGTGGAGACCTGCTTTACAGCCCTGCTTTTGTAAAGCATTTGGGGCCCTCCACTTGGAGCACTGCCAATGTGACTTGCTGAGGCGCTCCCCAGTGGTGGCAGGGAGAAGGAACAAGAGAGCAGCCTAGTACTTCCAGGCATTTTAATTTTGGTCTCAAGGTTACAAATGAGTTACTGGGGAGTACTGATTATACATTCTTTAATCTCAGCACTTAAAAGAGTTATCAGATTCTTGGAGATTCTAATTAATTGCCAAAGGAGACTGACAATGCCATCTACTAATTCTTTAGTAACCCCCTCCTATTAATAGGAAATTGAACTCATGAACAGAGTGTCTTTTCATTTATTTATGTTTTTAAATTTCTCTTAGTGATGTTTTATAGTTTTCAGGTACAAGTCTTTTATTGCCTTGGGTTAAACATGTTCCTAAGAATTTTATTCTTCTTGGCTGGGCTTGGTGGTTCATGTCTATCATCCCAGTGGTTTGGGAGGCTGAGGCAGGAGGATTGTAGTTCAAAGCCAGCCTCAGCAAAAAGAGGTGCTAAGCAACCTCAGTGAGACTCTGACTCTAAATAAGAATACAAAATAGGGCCAGGGATGTGACTTAGTAGTCAAGTACCCCTAAATTCAATCCCTGGAACCCCCCCAAAAATAAAAAAAAAATATTCTTCTTAATGCTGTTGTAAATGGAATTGTTTTAATTTCTTTTTTGGCTTGTTCATTGTTAAAATACAAAAATGCCACTGATTTTTGTGAGTTGACATTGTATCCTGTCTTTTCATTCTTTTGACAATATTTTTCTTTGAGCATCTCCTATCCCTGCCAAGGCCATACAGCTTTTTACATGATGCAACAAATATTTGCTGATAAAACCTCCCATGATTTCAGCTTTACAACTTACAGGCACCATAGTGGCCAGTCTAAAGGGATTCATAGAACCAACCAGTCTTCACAATAGTCAGTTATCTTTACAGCTAGAGACATGGAACTTGGGACGCCTCTGAGAATGGTACCACTATATATTCAAGTTTGGGTTGGTGTCTTGAGACTTGCTTTAGGAAGTATAATGTTGAAACAATGTACCTTTCCTAGGAACCCTTTTTGATGAAACAATATTCATAGAATATGAGGGCAAACTGAGGAAAGAAGGGGAGGTTTAGAAAGAAATAAGAATTGAGATGAGGGGAGGATGTACTTCCAGGCACTAGGAATCATGAGGCAAAGGCATATTCAAGAATGCATCTTGATCCTGTGCTTGCCCCTCTAATACCAGGCCACATCTAAGCCCTATTAGACCCTGCTCCCACTAACTTCCCCATAGAGGCTTTTTCTTACGCTCTGTCAGGATGTTGAGGCTGATTGTGACCTGGAAACTCAGAGTTCAGAGACAGTCTTGTCTTTCCTTCCATAGTTTAACCATCTTATCAAACTAATACATTGTTTAATGATACATAAATGCATATTTGTGGTCTAAAAGAATAGGCAAAGAAATTATTAACTCCAGAAGACATGGCTACTTCTGGGAGAGGAAAGTGACATTGTCCACTGCACAACTCTAGCAGATGTTCACACAGACCCTGGATCCTCAAGTACTGGAGAGAATTCATCTCTTGCCCTGAGCTGTCGGTATAATAATATTTTTTCTATGGAATAACAACATACATTTTATATAGACTTCTGAATATGACTGGTTGCAGGAGTTGACAGACTTTCTGTAAAAAAGCAGAGAATAACTATTTTAGGCTTTGCAGCACATAAGGTCTCTCTGCCCAGCTGCTGAATTCTGCTATTGTAGTATAAAAGGCCATTTGTAAGCAAATGGGTGCAGCTGTGTACCAACAGAAATAATTTGCAAAACCAGATGGCTGGCTGGATTTGGCTTAGAACCACAGTTTACCAAACCCCAGATTAAACAATTAAAAAGAAAAAAAAAAGTAGGACTGGGGTTATGGCTCAGCTGCAGAGCACTCACCTAGCACATACAAGTCCCTGGGTTCGATCCTCAGCACCACATAAAAATAAATAAGATAAATGTATTGTGTCTAAGTACAACTAAAAAAATTTTTTAAAATTGCTATGATTTATGTAGGGGACTTTAGAGTCTGGATAAAAGTTTCATTGGAGATTGGAGATTAGCCTTCTGTGACAATCTATGTTTACTTTGAAAATGTTTGATCTAAATTTTACTTTATTTTTTATAAGCTTGGGGCTTTGTGACCTCTCTAAGGTCACATATTGAGAGAAGTTGCTACTGAAACTTTGATTTCATCAGGAATGAGTTTTTATTAGACTTTTCAGACTAATTCTTTTATTAATTATAGTTAATCCAACATCATTTTTCATTTCTCCAGCTGTCAGGCATGATGCCAGGTGCTTTACACATGTTATTTCTTTTCCTCACACAGCTTTTCAAGTAGATATTATTTTTGTTTCCAGTTTGCACCTGAGGAAGACTGACTTTTCTAAGGTCACAGAGCTGATACAGCTGAGCTTTAAATCTGAGTCATTTGGCTTCAAATTCAGTTTTTCCCCCTAGAGTGTGCATTGTCTTTATAAAAGGCATCTTGTTTTAATGCTGCCCAAATCAATTTGGTTTTAGATTGTCTTCGCAGTTTTACTGATTTAGAAGAACTTGATGAGACAGAGTTATATATGTGCCATAAATGCAAAAAGAAACAAAAGTCCACAAAAAAGTTCTGGATTCAAAAACTGCCTAAGGTAAGTGTTGAATTTCAAATTATGATGCTATTTCAAAGGGGAAAATGCTCGACTAATCAAAAAAATTCTTATAATTTTAGACTGTGTGAACTGTTCTGTATTGGTCTCCAGGGTTTCAATAAAAGCTGAACTTTTGAGAGTTCATAGGTATGCTGGAAGAAAGCAATAGCAAGGGTCAGAAGAAATACTGATAGGATACCTAAAATATTGAGCAACATTAGACTGGAAGTTATTGGAAGATAAACTGGGTGTTGGTTCACAGTGTTCATTCTTATCTCTGTCATCCAGGTGCTATGCTTGCATTTGAAAAGATTTCATTGGACAGCATATTTAAGAAACAAAGTTGATACATACGTAGAATTTCCACTGAGAGGCTTAGACATGAAATGCTACTTACTAGAGGTAAGGTGATTACCTTTTTAGCATGGTAAAAAGGTACTGTATGATACATTTAAGTCTTCACACAGAGACAGTCAAGGTCAGAGAGGCAGGAGACACTGATGTCATTGGCCACTGCTCCTAACCCAGTTCTCAGAATGCCTTCTCCCTTGTTCCACAGCCTGAGAACAGTGGCCCAGAGAACTGCCTGTATGACCTTGCTGCTGTAGTGGTGCACCATGGTTCTGGGTGAGTATGTCAGCCTTCTGCTTGTGGGTGGGAACAACAGGTGGCAGGCGCAAGAACACCTGCAATTTTGCGCCAGTCTTGATAATTCTCTTTGAACTCCCTAAAAATGAATTCAGACTCATTAAAGTAGGTGTGAAGTAGAACTTTCCTTCCATCTCAATGTGGAAAGAATTCCTGAGAGGATGTTGTGAAGCACTAAGAGAAGGAATATAAAAACAAAATGGAAAATGGTTCATTTGGGCCCAGTATTGAGCACCTAGTCTTTTTTCCACAATATTCTGAGTCATTTTTACTCAAAGGTATTTATTTTCTTTGCCAATTGAAATTTATATGAGGATAAAATGGGATGATATTTAAAGTAATTTACCCATGTCATGTACTCTCAAGATTTGTTTTTTACTTTGTTGAATTACATTCTTAATTTTTTCCTTGAAAGCTTATACTAGGGGCACATATCTTCTTGTTTTTGGTCCATTTGAGAATGGTTATTTTATCTTTAAACATGGACTGCTATATTTGGGCAAATCAATACCTATGTTTAAAATCCTTTTCCCTCACAGCTTTGTAGACATTACTCCACTGACTTCACCATCCAGAGTTGCAAATGACAAGTCTTGTACAAATCTAATTCTCACTTTTTTATAGGCATCCCAGCTTTTTCTCTAGAAGTTGTATGATCCTCTACCTTTGGACTTAAAAAATATTGGATGCATTCCTGCTTGGTAGCTGGTAGGGACACTTTTAGTCTTCACCTCATAGACATTTTCATATGTTCTATCTCATTCTCTTTTCTCTCTTCTGGAATCCCTATTAAGTGTATAGTCACTTTCCTGGCTGTATCTTCTGTTTCTGTTTCCAGGGACCACTATGGCCTGTTTTTTTCCAAGTAATCAATTTGGGTTTCATCTGTACCCAAATTGAAGATTAGTCTGTAACTTTTTTGTTTTGTTTTTTGTAGTAAGGGTTTTTCTAGCAGGCCTCTTTCCTGATGGGGAGGACTGACACTGGGGTGCTATGTGTGACAGTTGGGTCATACTGACAGGGAAAAGCTCTTGATAACCAAAGCATCAGGGGATTGTGCTTCCTTTGAGGCAGACTCGTTCTTAAGCTCAGATTTTTCCAAGATCCTGACAGGAAATCTAGCATTGTTTTCCATGTTTCTGTAGGCTTTAATTTATACTTGTTAGGTTAAAAGTTTCACAACTCTGTTAATTTCCCTATTAATCCAGTGCTATCTGCTTTGTGTGTTCTAGAAAACCCTTAATTTCTGGTCAATTGATGGTATTCCTTTCTATTTTCCAGTATCAGTATATTCCTTATCTTTTCATTGGGTTTGGAGGAAAGTAAACAGATGGGCTCAGTCAACCGTCTTAAACCAAAAGTTTCTAGGATTTATTCTTTAATTATAGTACTTATTAAAATCTATTTTATGTATAACAAATGGTTATAAGTTTGCACAGGTACTTGTGATTTGTGCAGTCTTTTGATATTCTTTGATCTTGTGCCTTTTCTTTACAGGGTTGGTTCTGGACATTACACGGCATATGCAACTCATGAAGGCCGCTGGTTCCATTTCAATGACAGTACTGTAACACTGACTGATGAAGAGACCGTTGTGAAGGCAAAGGCCTACATCCTTTTTTATGTGGAGCGCCAGGCTAAAGCTGGATCAGATAAACTTTAATACCTCCTCTGAATCATTATTCATCAACTATACTGGGCAACATTTCCAATTTTCCATAAATACTTGATCTAAGATTTAATTTCATTATGCACTTTTCAATTTCCTGTTTTGGGTTTAGTTTTGTCATTAGTAGTGACTTATTGAACATGGGCACCAACTAATTTTTTGTTGTTCTACCAGAAAACCTCAGCAGACATTTTGATTTGCTGCTTTAGTTGTAATAATTCGATTTTTATATGTAGTTTCAAGAACTTAGTTCTGTTTGCCTTTTTTATATTAATGTTTTCAGTTCTCACTTCAAGCACATTTACATCAATGCTTTTGTTACTCTCACATGCTGAAAGCAAGGCACGCTCTTGAGTGTGAAGAGTGACATAACTGCCTGCTGCCTTTTTACAGCTGGGATGGATTAGGTTGACTCCCAATCAAGGATCATGTGTGTGTAGAATTTGTGGCCCATAAGATTTCACAGTGAATGCTCAGTAATCATTCTTTTTGACTGTAAAAGATAACTGAGAGTGCATCCTTAAGTAGACCAGGTAATTGCTGCTGGTGGTGTCTCATGGGTGCTGATTATCAGCAATAACTAAATAAATTTTTTGGTCCGGTTATACCTGTACTGCAGATTCAAAAATTACTCTATTTTCTGGGTTTTTCAGTTTCTGGAGTTTTTGTGTTTTCATAGGGGGAGACAGGTCAGGAACACAGAAAAATCCAAATAAGAACAAATATGTCATAATGTTTAAAAACGTCTGTGAGTCTGTTGCATGGTACAGGTGCTATCTGGTGAGAAAAATCATAGCTTCTCTTTGCCTTTTTGAATCAGCATCTAAATCCCCCTTTAGTTGTAGCACTGGGAGTAACTGCATGTCTACTTTAGACTTGCTTCTTACTTGGCCATCTGAGGAAGAGATAGATGATCCAGAATTGATGGTGGCCATCACCTACACTCCAGGTGTCGTTGTGGGGTCTGCTTTTATAGAAGGAAGTTGGAGTCATTGCTACTTTGGGTTTTAACTCTCTTGGCCTATCCTGAGAGCAGAGCAAGTTAAAAATATTCTCACTTTGAATAAGTATAATTTGTATTCTTGAACTCAGTAGTGTTTGTTTCAAAACTGTTGTCCATAAAAATAGGTACAGGCACTATTTAGATGGAGCTCAAATTGAAATGTGAACTCAGAGTCTCATTTAAAGAAGGCATTTGTGATTGCTCAAGGGTTCTAAGACAGCTCTTTAATTTTGAGGTGGTGATGGCATTACTTGTAAATTATTTGGGGAGAGTAGGATTGCCAGCACAGGCATGCAGGCATTGAACTGCGTGCCATTTTCTTGTTCATTTCTTGTCCCTGCCATTCTTTTCTTCCTTTTCTCAACAAAGGACAAAATACATTTCATGTTCAGCCAGGCAAGCAGACTTTTTGGCAATCCTGTTTTCTTTTTTTTAATTTAAAGGAAAAATAGTCAAAACTTTTTCTAGTGTATGAATGTAAAAGAAAGTCTGATGGCTTTCCTCCTAGGTCAGTTGTTTATAGTTATAGGAGCAGAGGTGGCTTCTTTTCCTTCTTAATAATTAGCTGGATAAATCCCACATTCTCTCAGAGCAGAACACATTTGCTGGATAAATGTTTTAACACGACAAGGAGCAAACTGCAGTTATGTCTAAACTTGTGTTATCTAATATGATGGCCATATGTGGTTATTTAAATTTAAAACTCAGTTCCTCACTCATACTAGTCATATCTCAAGTGTTCAGCGCCCATACCTGGCTAGGATTGTGCAGGTCTAGGACATTCCACAATGGATAGAGTTCTCTTGGACAACACTGGCCTAAGTTTTCACTCCAAAGAGTAAAACTTTAGGTCTTAGAGTTAAGAATCAGAGTCCTAGCAGGCAATTAGTATTTAAAATAATTTACAGCACTGAATTATATTAGGTGGAACTATATGCAAATATAACATTTGGTCTACAGAAATGAGTTTGACTGATTTATGCTAATCTATCAATCAGTACGTTAAAACACATAACTGAAAAGTAAGTCTCCTCTGACCTTGCTTAGTTCTGCTGTGAGTCAGGCTCCTTGGCTCAGAAGGTAGACAGCTAGATCATCTAACATCACACTTAGGACTCCAGTCTTGGCATGGGCACTGAGATGACTGAACAGTAAATACTGGCAGAATCCATACTGATGAAGACATGTCTTTTCATACTAAGTGGAACTTAGTGGCAGGCTGGACTACTTTGTTGGAGAAAGTGGTCTTCAGACAGGCAGTACTGTTGGTTTATGTGAAGAACACACCTCCTCTTTGAATTTTTGTAGCATTCTTATTGCTCATTTTTAAGCAGAATATTTAGAGTGGTATCATGAAGACTCTTGGAAAGTGATTGGATCCATCTGAGTGCCCATGATGTAAATGTGCCTATTTGTATTTTCATCCTGTAGCTGTAGCCTTATCACACCACAGTTAATGGATCTTTCTTTGCTCTTCAGGGCTTTTTCCGCGCCATGTTGTCTCTAACCCGAATGTGGCTTCTTGCTCAGAACTTATGCTGAGGCAGGGCCTCATGTCATGTGGCTCCATGGAACAGGAAATTCTCAGAAGTCCTCCCACACAGATGGGAATAGAAACAGTTTGTGGCAACACAAATCTCTCTCCATGGTGGAGAAACCTTTGCTTATCCACTGTATTCTACTCAGTGTATAGTGATGACAGATATAATAGAATTAAACCAGTCAAGCGTGCTGGGCCTGGTTAAGTGTTAAATATGTGTCTCAACCTGTGGAACCTACTCAACAGCATGGTTTCTGGGGTGGGACATATTTATTTCTTAAGCCAAACCGCTCCTTCATTGGAGAAAGGTGTCTTCAGACAGGCAGTGCTGTTTTAGTGTACATAAATCTTTTTAGACATATTTATCCCATTGTGACTTCCACCATCCCCTAAACTCTCTCATGGACCCTCTGTTGCCGAAGGAGCCTCTGCACTTGGGGCCTGGAAAGGCTCATAGCAAGGCCTTTTCCCGCAGTCAGGGTGTGGGTCCCCTGTGACCAGGTGTGGCCATTGGATGATGCCCCTGGCCCAGGAAGGAGCAGTGAGTGTGTGGAATTGTCTCTGGTCCAGGTCTCTGCACCTCATCACTGGTGCAGAACCTCCTCAGGTGTGAGCGTGACAGCCTCCACATGCTGGTTGTGCTGTGACGTTACTGTTTGCCATTAAAACTTAGTGTGTATTATGCGAAGAGGATTGTTTAATTGTGCAAGTGACTGGTTCATTCAAGTTGTAATCACATCCCTTTTCTGCTTCACCAGCCTCAACTATTCTATGGAAAGTATCATTAAAGGTCTGTTCTCTTTCCTTCTGACTGTTATTTCTGAATCCCTTTCAGTGGAGCCAAATAAATGATGTGCTGACTCCAGCTCTGGGCCTTAACTATCAAAAGGTAGTAGTTCTTACAGAAGTCCCAATATTTTGAACCTGCTGCTGTATGTGGGCAGGATGGAGTAGGTGGTGCTACAAGGGAGTGGCCATAGCCAGGGGTTCAAGGCCAATCGCCTGGCTCAGTGAAATCCTCAAATCCTAGCAGTTTTCTGGTGACTACTGACTTTATGGAAATGAGACTTCTGTCCCTCCCTCAGAGCCAGAAGCTACCTTGAAGAACCAGTTTTTCAGCTCTAAGCAAAGCTTATTGATAATCTTTTAAAGTAAAACAGGCAGGGTTGGGGATGTGGCTCAAGCAGTAGTGCGCTCGCCTGGCATGCGTGCGGCCTGGGTCCGATCCTCAGCACCACATACAAAGATGTTGTGTCCACCAAAAACTAAAAAATAAATATTAAAAAATTCTCTCTTAAAAAAATAAAGTAAAACAGGCAAAGGAAGTGGTGCCAATAAATTATGCTTAAGGCAAGAGCTTACATACCTTCTCTGTCCATTGCCTTCTGTAAACAGAAGACACAGGAACTGTCTACACACCTGTTGCTTTTCTGTTTCACCTATTTGCCTGTTCCTGTCAGTCTTCTAAAACTGAGGGCAGAATGGCCTGCAGCTCAGACTGTCTGGCTTCCATGCCCCACAAGGCACACCTCCCTTCAGCACCTGTGCTGTTCAGGTGCCACTGCTGTGCCAAACAGCAGAGCTGAGACAAGGCCAAAAGGGCAGAGCCATCAGCTGCTTGTGTGTCAGATCCTCAGGAGGCATGCTCACTTTGGGAAGCCCACCTTCTGGTCTGGGCTGCCTCTTGCCATTGACTTGGAGCAGCAGCAAAGAGACAAGGTTCCACACATTCTCCCTATCTTCTGCAGTTGCATCGGGGCTGCAATAGTGCAGCTGGGAAGCCATGATGAACCATCAGGGGCTCTTCTCCAGCAGGTGGCAGGATTACACGGCACTTCTTTTTAACAAACTGAAAAGACCACCTATTCCCAATGGTCAGTCAGCCTGTGTGAAGTGATGGTTGGAGAGGATTCTGGGAGGGAATGTGGAGGTTTTCTAGGTATCCGCCTGCAGTGGAGCAGCATAATCAGACACAACCCAAAGGGCTGCAGTTGTTATTCTGAACAACTCAAATGATGAACTTGAAATATGAGCAGCCCCCTTGCAAGTCCCTTTCTCATGCTGGGGTAGCAGGCTCAGGAAGACCAGCTGAGACTGCTCAGGGTAGGGATGCTGACCAGGACAGCTGTGCTCTCCTTTCCTTAGCTGCCTCTGTTTGGCACATGCCAGCCTCGATTCCAGAAGCAGGTATAGCATGGCCACCTCATCAGTGTCACAACCACATATCCAGAAATAAGTCTTCCAATTCCAGTTCAGTGAGGGGAGTAAACAAAAGTTCCCTAGACTGAGGAAAACTGTCCTTACCTCGGGTACTGCGAAGGCAGAATGGTGATGTCTGGAGCTGCACTTTACCAGTGTCCCCCAAACCAACCCATCAACACAATTAGGAACTCACAGCAGGGGAACAAAGGCAGGGCCACAGGCCTAGGGATGAAGAGGTATTAGGAAGTAGGTCCACTTGGAGGCCTCAGGTGCTTTAAGAAAGGAGAACTTAATAGATATTATTACCCCTAGGCTACTTGACCACAGGAGCATGAGAGGGGGCAGGGGATGATCCATGGGTTTCTTTAAGAGGGAAGGACACTCAGAGCAGATGCAATGGCTGCCTTCCACAGCAAAAACCTATTAAAGTACATAAAAGTGTTTTATGCAGTGTTGTATTAAGAGATACCTCCTTTGTCCTGATACTTTGGAAAGTACAAGCTAGAAACAGAAGGACACATGTAAAAAATATAAGGCCAAATGAACTAAAGCTGAAAGTAAAAGCCTTGGAAAGATAAAATTACTTCAGTTAAATCTTTTATGAAACAACTTGGTAAAATTAGAGCCATCTGGGAGGTTAAGGAAATCTTCTTGTCCAGTGGAGGGCAGTAGGATTTGAAGGCAGCTCAGTCCTACCTGGAAGCCATCAGTCTACTGAACAAAAGTAACAGAAAAGAGGCATGGCCTGTGGATTCTGCTCCCAGCTTGGAAAGTACCACCATTCTTAGCTCTGACATCCAGCAGGCCTTTTTGTGGTAAAGGTGGAGCAAAAGACCTACACTGATGTCCTACAAAACCAGTTAATACAAACACTCCCTGCCAGTGGGTAGACTGCAAGCCCAGACAGAGCTGGTGTGGCCGGCCACCTCCAACGAAAATGCCTTAGGAAAAACCAAAAGAACTCTGCTAAACACCATTGTCAGCTAAAAGGAAAAGAAATCCCTTTAAAGTAAACTATTTAACTTCAATAGGCTGCTTTTCTGCCAGAATTTTTCAATCCCTCTGAACATAAGCCGAGCCACAGACTACTGCACGTATGTCTGGATCCTGGCTTTTCTTCCCCCCACCCCCACCGCCAAGAGCTTCAGGACCAGTTGTGGGCCAAAAATAAACACCATTCCTCAACCATATATGTCCACCAGCCCTGAGCTGGGGAGGAGCAGGAGGAGGCAGGTCAGCCCTGGCTGGGTACACTCTGTGGATGCCGTTCACCATGCACATAACCCAGCTTAACCGGGAGTGCCTGCTGCATCTCTTCTCTTTCCTGGACAAGGACAGCAGGAAGAGCCTTGCCAGGACCTGCTCCCAGCTCCATGATGTGTTTGAGGATCCTGCTCTTTGGCCTCTGCTGCACTTCCGTTCCCTCACTGAGCTTAAGAAGAACAACTTCCTTCTGGGCCCAGCGCTGCGCAGCCTGTCCATCTGTTGGCACTCCAGCCAGGTGCAGGTGTGCAGCATTGAGGACTGGCTTAAGAGCACCTTCCAGAGGAGCATCTGTAGCCGGCATGAGAGCCTGGTCAGTGATTTCCTCCTCCAGGTGTGTGACAGGTAGGCAGCTTTGTTCCTGAGCAGCTCTGGTTTTGCTGGTGCTGACTCTGGGGGAGGGGTGGGAGAACCAGGGAAGTGCAAATTATAAGATCAAGATGCCTCCTGCTTTGGGGCACCTTAGACTAGGCCCAAGGCAGATGCCCAGTCCCTGAACTCAATGCAGCTCTTAGTAGATGACCTATCAGTTAACACTCCTCTCAGCCTTAGGGTCTCAAGAACTGCCTCTGTTGTAAAGGCACTGGGGCTGAACCGTCCCTGCTCTTAGGCAGCTGTCCTCTCTGGCAGCCATTAAGTGCTGGGTGGGTCCAGCTAGGCCTGGAGTTTCAAGGACAGGCCCTGGGAACAGGTTGCCAGATTCAGCTATCAGCACACCTCTCCATTTTGGCCCTAGAAAGGAGCCCCAATGTCTGAGAAATGCTGAGGAAGGATAGATTTAGCTGAGCCACACCAGACTCTGGAAGTAACAATAAATAATGGTCTCCTTTGAGGAACTTACTAATGTTCACAGTGGCCCTAGGGCAGGAGTTCAGCTTTCTTTTACAAAGGAGCAAACTAATCCTCCAAGAGGAGGTATGATTTACCCACAATCTAGGGTTGCCATATTTTATGGACTACCCAATTAAATTTTAATTTCAAATCAATATTAATTATTGAGTAATTTTAAAAGTATGTCCCCCAAACATCCTGTATTGAAGCTTTCAACCGCACCCCCAACACAGGCTGGGCCACCAGGCCCGCCTTCCCCATCCCCCACCAGCAGCCAGGGAGCTTACAGAGCCCACCAGATTATCCTACCTTTGAGAAAAAGCACCAGGAGCATAACAAGCTGGGCTGGCTTCATGGAAAACTAGGCTCTGCTTGTTTGTTGCCACCAAGGTTAATATTTGCTGTTTGTTGGCAGCAGAACAGGAATGGGAGGAAAGAACCCCCCTCCCCTGCAATTCTTTTTTTGAAAACTGCAGGATGACAGAAGATGGACTTGGAGCGAGGTCCTGACTAGACCAGCCCAGGTTGTTTGGATGAGTTTTAACAAGGTTCAGAAATGAGGGTTATAGGAGGGTGAGGTGGGAGGGATTAGGCCCGAATTTTTGTGTTCTTGCTTTAAAGGATGAGGCTGAATTCCCCAACCCAAGGTGTAGAGTGGAACTCTTGGGCCATAGGATGGGTTTAGCAACAGGCTCTGGTGTCTCAGAAAGACGGAAAGGCTTTGAGTTCCCCAGCTCTGTTTATGTAATTAAAGAAAGCACAAGAATTTAAGGAAGGTATGGGCTCAGTGTGTGAAATGTGGCTGGGCCCAGTATATTTTAGTTCCTTCTCTTTCCCCAGCAAAATTGTGTGGACATAAGCCAGCTGGGTGCAGTGAAGGAACAAAGTGGGAGGCTGATGGGGAAAAGGACCAGGCCAGACTCAACTCCCTCTGGCTACAGACTCCAGACTCAGGCTCCTGTAGTGGAAGCAATCTGGTCCTGTTTGTTTCCAGGAAAGTGAGTTACAGCTGCACATAGGAAGCCCTGTTGCAGTCTTTTTACACCCCAAAGCCCATCTAATCCTCACAAGCCTATGAGTAAACATCCCACGGTCACACACAGGGAAACTAAGGCCCAGTGAGTAATAAGGTTAAAGACACACTGAAAATAAGCCAAGTCTAACTTTGGTCCAGATCTTTTCTCCTGTAGGTGCTGGTGAGACTGGAGCAGAGGGATCTCTAGCTTTCTGGGCCAAAAACTCTCTGGGTGTCCCTAATTGTACACACCTGGATGATGAAACAACCGCCCCCAGCCAACTGAGCTGAAACTGGGCTCTAGAACCATCACTGAGGCACACGTTCCGGGCTTGGCTTCCATGTCACTAAGCCATTCCCTAAGGAAACCCCTCCTAAATCCTGCCAAAGGTTTTATGGAGCCTGAGGTAAGCTTTGAGACCAGAGAAAAACTAAGACCACAAGAGAAAACCCAGAACCACAAGCCCTGGATTCACAGAAGGCTTGGGTCTCTGGGGGCCGGGTTCCCTACTGAGGTTCCTGAAACTCAGCGCGAAGAACCCTCAACATTAAGGTATAGTGGGGGTGCAGCGGCAGAAAAGGCTGGGGAAATTGTCCAGAAAGCCCTGTTGGAATCCTGGCTGCTCATTGCAGGCGACTTCCTCAAACTCGGTAAAAGGCAGAGTCCCCTGCCCGTGTAGCGTGCGGTCAGGTGCAATGAAGGAGTCGCGGCGGAACTGCGGCCGGCTTGACGCGCCCGTCTCGGCCCCGGGTCACAGCGCTCTTCCCGCAGGTGCCCCAACCTGGCGTCCGTCACGCTGTCGGGCTGCGGCCACGTCACCGACGACTGCCTGGCCCGCCTGCTGCGCAGTTGCCCGCGCCTGCGCGCGCTGCGCCTGGAAAACTGCGCGCGCGTGACCAACCGCACGCTGGCGGCCGTGGCGGCGCACGGGGGCGCGCTGCAAACGCTGCACGTGGACTTCTGCCGCAACGTGAGCGCCGCGGGCCTGCACCGCCTGCGCGCCGCCTGCCCGCGTCTGGTCCTGCGCGCCGAACACAGCGCGGCCATGATCCCCGACCAAGTCCCGCGCCCGCCAGCGTCGGGCACGGCTCTCCGCAAGCTGCTGCCTAGCTAGGCCGGCCGTGGCCCTGGGAGAAAGTACCTTGGCGTCAGATCGTCCTGCTTTGGAGCCCGCCGCCGCGCCTTCTTGGCGTCATTCTTCCCGTCTGCACATTGGGGATAATGCCCATCTACCTCACATCATGATTTTATAAAGAGGATGAAGGCGAGATTAAAGGACTGCATGGCTGGAAAACACTTTGTGGTTCTCAATACCAGCACCATTCCCCCCTTTTCTGCAGTGGTGGGAGGCGCCCGCGTTATCTTCCGAGACTCGGACCGTGTGGTGGGTCTCCTTAATGGCGGCAGGCAGGGCCGGAGCTCACGGGCTGCGCCCCCTACAGGCAGGGGGCTCCGGCCGTCGCGCGCGTTCCTGGGGAATCAGGCGGAGCGACCCCGCTGCGGCCCGGCCGCTGAGGGCTTCTGCAGAGCGAGTCCTGCAGCGCCGAAGGGCTGGTTCGCGGCTTGGCCCACGCCACCCTGGCCTGCTTGCCTTTCTTGGGGGCAGATGTGGTCCTCGGAGGACGGCAGAAGCCTTTCCAGATAATCTGTTCCCATTCTTTCATATGTAAACTGAGAGTTAACGGATACTCTTAACCATTCGCACAAGGGTACTCTACCATTCATTCGCACAAGGGAAAAGTATGTCAATGGGAGGAAAAAAGTTAACGATTTTAAAACAGCAGCAGTATCCCTGACTAAGTATCCCTGGTGATATAGCTCAGTTGGTTGAGTGTTTGTCTAGCATGCAAGAGTCCCTGGGTTAAATTTCCCAGCACCATCAAGAGGAAAAAAAAAAAAAAAAAGGATAGTAGTAGTGGAACCTTTGTTAAGTGGTGAAAAATGAGGTTTTTTTTATCTGTTGGATTTGCTGCACGTGGGCACATGCCTGGACTTCCAGTTGTAATTTCAGGGCTTTACTAAGGGTCTCTGCCACCAGTTCCAGGTACAGGGAACACTGGGTAAGTGGAAGAGGCAGGGGAGCAGCAATGGTGAGCAGTGCTCACACTCTGGCTCCACCCACTGCCAGCTGTAACCAAGACCTTGTCTGAGTCTGTAGCCAAGTGTTTCTCCTCTCTGTCATCCCGATCCCTAAAACAGGTTCCGTAATTTGTTGACCAAATGGGAAAAAAGCAAGGATAAAGGAGACAAATTCTGTTTTGGGTGGAGCTTACATTCTGGATAATTATACATAAGTAGTGAGTACTGGAGGAGTTAGAAACTGTAGGGGAGATTTGGAGATTGCTGGCCAAGAAACGGGTGGGGGAAGGCACTTAGATTTGGGTTGACCACATAAACCGCATTGAGAAGGTGATACTTAAGACATGAGGTGAGCCAGGAAACCAAGTCAGCCATCTGAAAAATATTTCAGGCCAAGAGAACTGCATGTGCAAAGGTCCAGGACTAGGAGCATGGCTGATATGTTAGGGAAACAGCAAGAAGGTCAGTGTAGCTGTTGCAGAGTGAGGAGGAGAGCCAAGTGGGAGAGATCAGAGAGGGAGCTATGATGGGACACATTGTAGTAAGGATGAAATAAAAACTGAAGGTCAGTTTATCCCAGCAGGAGCTAGGGCCTAAGCACAGACAATAAAAAGGTAAGTCCCAGAAATTCTCTAGGTAGATACATAGGCATCTACCTCTCCTGCCCTGCCCCACCTGGCAACTGCTGAAGGGCTTCTCTGCTCCTCCTGGTCCCCTGGCTGGGGCAGTGCTTACACCAGAACAAGGTAAACATCCAAGCCCTTTCCTGGCATAATCCCTTCTAATCTTGTGTGAAAAGCCAGACCCACCTTGCTGCCAGCTGCAGTGGAGGGGGATAGGCCACTGTTAGCCGGTGGGACCCAGGCTCCCTCCAGGTGACTTTCCAGTTTATCTTGCATTGCTCTGGACTTGAAAGGGTCCTTGCAGGGTCCTAATTCTCCTTCCACAATGGTGAACAGTGTTGAAAGAAAGCTTGAGTTGGGGGGGGAGGGGTAGGAGAGGATGTTGAATGTCTAAAACAGTCACTTTAACTCCAGAGCTTTGCTTTTATCATCTTAATAAGCCCCAATGCCCAGCAGGTCCTGTTAGCCCTAAATTGGTAGTTTAGTCTGGGAACAGGATCCTGATTTCAGGCCTAATGGATATAGGTCTGTAGTCCATTTCCCCTCACTTTCTAACCCTGACACCAAAGGCAGGTCAGATCTCCTGATTTCCTTATGTTAATTAGAGGTAGCTAGAAAACCTTGTTTGTGGGATTTTTGTAAGGATCAGGATTGTGTTTGTAAAGCAGAGGTCACAGCAGGTTGAGCTTGAATGGGGCAACCTGCATCCCCCTAAAGTCCCTTTCCTATGGAAACTTCTGTAAATGACTGTTGGCTTTCCAGGCTAACCCCCACGTACCCAAACTATAGTGACCATAAAACCAAAGCTGTGCTGATACCTGTATCCAGTATTGTATCAGGGCTCTAAACTGGCTCCCACCGTGGCCAGGAGGCTTTGGGTCCCTGAGTCAAGGGCCATTTTAGGTGCTCCCAGAAGGTGGGCACTGATGAGTCACAACTCTGCACTCTGCCTTCCAACAGTAGCTGTTCACCTTCAGGAGGAATGCCCTGCTTAATCTGAAACACAACTTCCAAGGTCTTCTCAGAGGTTTGCCCAGGAGGCATTGAATGCTTAAATAATCAGCCAACTCATTCATCTAAGCAGCATTTATTTGGTATTGGCTGTGGACTGGGCCAGGCCAAGGGACTCAGTTCTAGTTGGGAGAAGATATGCAGCTGGGAGTGAGGGGTGTTCTTGAGTACATCTCCCAGCTTTGTGTGCACAGCTTCTCCAAGTTATAATTTCTCTGAGCCTGCTTCTTCATCCGTAAAATGGGATCAACACCACCTTCTATGTGACAGTTATGAGACTCAATGTACTGTGCCTGCAAGGCAAGAGCAGGTGTCCCCACATCCATAAGGGCTAGAAAAGTTGAGTGGCTGGCAGGACTCACAAGGCTCAGGCACTGGGAAGAAGTGAGACAGGTCTGTATGTGGGTGGGCCAGCATCTCTACTGGATGGAGAACAGAACGTTTGCACTGAGCCTGAGGGCTGCCTCCAGCTCCCTCAGGTTCTGTGAGAACATTGGTGTCAGCAGGTTCAGCTCAGCAAAGGCAGAGTCAAGAAGCACAAGGCACCACCAGGGAAGGTAAGCTGGGCAGATGAGAGCCTGATGGTATTCAAGAGCCACCTAGAAGTAGGCCACTTGTGCCCTCCTAGACTCTTATTAATAAGACTACAGACTTTCCCTAGTTCCTGGAATGTCAAATCTTTTCACTCTGTTTTGGTCAAGGTAGCCAAGGTCACATGCAGGGAAAGCTAAGAATGACACGTCAGCACTTGAGTAGGATGCTGCTCTCTAGTTGGAAGCTGCTCAGTCAACCGCATCATGCTGCCTGGTGTGCATAGGACTCTCAGGCTAGCAGAAAGATCAGGCCACATTCACTTGGGTCAGGTGTTCCAGAGTCCCCAGGAAATGGGAGGTGATGCTTGGAGGTTTTTTGTGCAAGGTATGTGCCTGTTTCTGCACAGGCTGAATGTTGGGAGGGAGCTGACTGAGCCTTCTAGGATCTAACCCAGTATGCTGTTGGTAGGCTGCTGCACCTGATTGAGTGCTTTCCCTCTCCTGGCCTTGGATTTCCATCCTGTAAAAGAGATCATGTGACCATTAGAGACCTCCCTTCCAGGTTTAGGATTCATGTCCAACACATACTTTTAGCTTCTTAGCAAAAGCATATCATGCTAAGTGAAATAAGCCAATCCCAAAGAACCAGAGGCTGAATGTTTTCTCTGATTTGCAGATGTTAATTCACAATAAAGGGGTGGGGGCTAGGAAAGAATAGAGAAGTACTTTGGATTAGACAAAGGGGAGTGAAGGGATGGGAGGGGCATGGGGGTAATTGGACATTATTATCCTATGTGTGTATATGATTACACAACCATTGTCATTCTACATCATATACAAACAGAAGAACACAAAGTTATACTCCATTTATGTATGATGTTCAAAATGCATTCTACTGTCATGTTTAACTAATTGGAATAAATAATTTAAAAAAGGACTAAAATCAGAAAAAGGGAAAAAAAAGCTAAAAACTAGGCTCACCAGATGTAGCCGTCATTGGCAAAGGCCACAAAGCTAGGAGGCCCATTACAAAGTCAAACCTTGAGAAGTATCTGGGGAAATCTTAAATTCTAACAGCAGGGGGTCAAACTTTTCTTGAAAACTTAAGGGTCAAAAACAAAACAAACGGGCTGGGATTGTGGCTCAGTGGTACAGCGCTTGCCTAGCACATGCGAGGCCCTGGGTTCAATCCTCAGCACCACATTAAAAATAAATAAAAAAAATAAAGGTATTATGTCCATCTACAATAAAAGATAAGCAAACTGAAAGTATCTGTTCACTCAGTGAGGTCAGCAAACAATAAACCACCCAAGTCTCTACAGGGCATCGACTACGAAAAACACCTACATGAGGCCCTCAGAGGGCCATCAGGATCCTCAGAGGAGGGACTCCCCTTGCCCCCCTCAACACACCTGAAGTTCTCAATAGTCAACAGAAGGAAGGAATAACAGCTGCTTTCCAGCAGAGAAACAGCATATTATAAAACCATCCTGACAGATTCCCCTCAGGGGTCAGACCTCCTCAGAAGCAGTCTGTTAGGCCTAACCCAGGAACCAGGACTCATCAGGGCCACCTACTGGTGGCACCAAAGGTCAAAGCTTCACAAAGGTAGAAGCACTATTTTCACTTGAAATAACCCTGGAATCTGTAGCCATATCCTTTAGCTTTGCATACCCTCAGTCAACTCAGCAAGAGGGGCAGTCACTTATCATTAGGAAGCAGCCCTCCTGACTTTGTTCAAGACCTCAGCAGCAGAGGCCTCTCTTAGAGAAACTCTCTCTGGCCCAGCAAACTAGGCAATGTCCCCAACCCCAGAGAGAGTGCTTCAAGCTCAGAGCCCTTCAACACTGCTACTAACCCAACTCACAAAATTAAGGGCTTGTCGCTACCCAGAACACCCTGGGGTTCCCCAGATGCTGTGGTCTTCCTCTGAGACTCAATTCCAACTGAAGCCTTTTTTTTTTTTTCCAGTGAAACAAAAACGTCATCATTCTCATGTTAAGTCTTCTCACTGGGCAAAAGCCATTAACCAGATTATCTTAGCTGGC